ATGGGTTCAATTAATAATATTTAATTTCGAAATTAACTCTAAATTAATTCCGAAATTAATACAATATCAAATATTGCCTAATCAGATAAGAGAACAATTAAATAAATATGGTTTAAATTAAATCCGTCTCACAGATTTAATTCACTTATTTATTTAATAAAGAGATGACGGAATTTGTATATTTAATTTATCCTTATAAATTAATATCTCTTATATTTATATATATATATATACGAATATATATATATATATATATACACACGTCCACCCTATTTATTCATTGAATCTGGACATATCTTAGATTCAATGAATCTGGACATCATAACTCGTGTTGGGCTATTTTGTGTGCGACCCTGTAGGCCCATATGAAGTTGGCAGTGGGCCATTAACTATGATGACCCACAAGTCGTAAGCGGTCTCTAGCAAGACATCACGACTACCCAAATCATATGAGGATCATTGAACGATGCAACCTTTCATACAACCATATCACGTCCCTTTTGTCTCACGACATTTTGGTCATGGATGAGGCATGGAGAATGTCATCCTCCTATTCATGACCGTTACTTTCTCGATCCCTGAGTAGTCTGAGTATAGAAATGGAACTACCTTTCCATTATAGTATGGCCATACATTTCTCAGACTCACTCATCGAGGGGCCCAGTAATGTCTCTCTACGAATGTGAGGGACAAATTCCATCTTGACCATTCACATTCCTCCGCATGAAAAACCACTAAGCCTGAACATAGTCTTTATGATCACTCGGTCAAAAGTGACTTTTGACTAGGTCAAAGCTAAGCGTTTCTCATGTAGGAATCCATGATGATTTCAGGTCAAAGGGCATAGTGACGTGGTTTGTATATGAGAGAAGCTTATGACTTAACCCATGCAGCTCTCTCATAGCGGGTCGGTCCAACACCTTGTACTCTTACATGTGCCTATGACTTTAATTTATATCTCTATATATCTTTAAAGTCATACTGGTCTTATTTCATCTTTGCTCCCACATAGATGACCGACCAGGGACATTTAGGATAAACCATGAGTTATCCAAGGATAGTTATCACAGTAAACATGCAAATAATATGATAACGTAATTAATAAACTCATAAATTAACAATGTTCAAAACATAATGATTGGCCCCTAGGGCACAATTTCCAACAGATGGGAAACTGGCCAGAAAGCCAAAACCCAACCTGGGATGATGACCCATCAGTAGAGTAAGCCAGGTGCGCGGTTACTTTCCAACAGTTATCAATGATTGTGGCTACATGGAATTGTCGCGGAGCAGGTAGTAGACTGTTCTCGCATATGATTAAAGAAATCGTCATCAAGTACGGTATTAATGTTCTTTGCCTGGTGGAAACACGCATTAGTGGCTTAAGGGCGGATAAGATGGTTAGGAAATCAGGTTTTACGAATTGGATTCGTGTGGAAGCCTCTGGCTTTGCTGGTGGAATTTGGGTACTCTGGAAGGAAAATGAAGTCGGCATAAATTACATTTGCTCAAACACTCAAATGATTCACTGTCAAATTCATGATAGACCAAAACAAGAAAAATTCTATGCAACTTTTGTTTATGGGGAAACAATGGCATATAGAAGGATAGAGCTTTGGGAATCCTTAAAAGTAATCTCTAATGCCACAACTGAGCCATGGGTTATAGTAGGCGATTTCAATACCTTCTTAACGCCGTCAGACAAGTTGGGTGGGGCAGCCCCCATTCTCCCAGCACTTTAACATTTCGCAAGCTGCATCTCGGAATCCCAATTAGTGGAATTACCAGTGGTTGGAGAAAAATTCACTTGGGAGAAACAAGGGGTTAAAGAGCGGCTAGATTGGGCCTTCAGTAATGTTGAGTGGGCTTTGAAATTCCCTCAGAGTAAAGCAGCCCACGGAATGAAATTCAAATCAGATCACCGGATTGTTTTAGTCTCTAACCACATCAATACCCCTACCGACAGGCCCCGGGAATGAAGTTTTAGATACCAATCAGCTTGGGTCCTGGAGGAAGGTTTTCAGGAAGTGGTTCGCCAAGCCTGGGATTCGAAAGACTGGTGCACTGGGTTCAAGTCGTTTCAGGAGGATGCCTCGAATTGGAATAACTCGGTGGTAGGAAGCATACCACAAAAAAAGAGGCAAATCTTGCGAAGACTAGAAGGAATCGATAAAGCCAGACAGGACAAGCTCTCCTCTGGGCTTTACAGACTTGAGAAAAAGCTGTGGAAAGACTATGTAAAATTAGCAGCCCAGGAGGAATTATTATGGTTTCAAAAATCAAGATGTAATTGGCTTCAATGGGGAGACAAAAACACTCGCTTCTTTCATGCTTCCACTGTCATTAGAAGGCACCAACAACACATTGAAACTTTGCAAAATGATGATGGTCGATGGGTGACTGATCATTCAGAAATGATGCACATGGCAACCTTATATTATAAGAAGCTATACACGAAGGATGACCAGGTCAGTGAGAGCTTAAACTGGTTGGCGGAATTTCCCTCTCTCTCCACACAGGATATTTATTTGATTCATAAGGAACTTAACATGGTGGAAATCAAGAATGCGGCGTTCATGATGGGGGCTTTCAAAGCCCCAAGACCTGATGGGTTACAACCTCATTTTTTCCAAACTCAGTGGAATATAATTGGGAACAAGGTGTGTACCCTAGTGGGGGACATATGGAGAAACCCGATGAAAGTGGCCGAGATAAACCACACGAATATAGTACTGATCCCCAAATTGGAAAATCCAAGTCAACTGAAAGACTTCCGTCTGATCTCATTATGCAATGTGATCTTCAAAATAGTGACAAAGATCATTGCAAACAGACTTAAAGGACTGATTGGGAGGATAGTGCACCAGGAGCAGTGTAGTTTCATCTCAGGTCGCCAAAGTAACGACAATGTCATCATCGCTCAAGAAGCAATACACACCATAAGATCCATGAAAGGAAAAAAAGACTTTGTGGCTGTCAAGGTTGATATGGAGAAAGCATACGACAGACTGGATTGGGGATTCCTAGAAGATACACTTTACAAAATAGGGCTAAAGGAGGACTTGGTGCGGTTGATCATGGCCTGCACAACCTCAGCGACGATGAAGATTCTATGGAATGGGGAATGTTCGCAGCAGTTCACTCCTACCAGGGGTCTAAGGCAAGGAGATCCACTTAGCCCTTATTTATTTGTGCTCTGCATGGAGCGGCTGGGACATGTGATCAGAAAAGAAGTCCAAGAAGGCAGCTAGAAGGGAATTCGGTTTGGCAGACAGGGCCCTATGATCTCCCATTTGTTTTTTGCCGACGACCTGTTGCTCTTCGGGAGAGCTACTTCGGGGCAAGTGGCAAAGATGAGAGAGGTTCTGAATAACTTCTGCAGTGTTTCGGGACATCGGATTAACCTTCAAAAAATGAAAGCCTACTTCTCCAAAAATGTATGCTTTAATAGAGCAAGGGAGTTATGCCAGCAATTAGGTATTGGAATCACTGCAGACATGGGGAAGTATCTTGGGGTACCGTTGCTTCACAAGAGAATGACTAAAGCGATATTCCTCCCGTTAATTCAGAAAACTCAAAGGAGATTGGCAGGCTGGAAAAGTTCGTTCTTAACCATGGCAGGGCGAGCGGTACTGATTAAGTCAGTAATTTCTACTTTGCCAAGTTACTTAATGCAGTCGATGCTCCTGCCCAAAGGGGTATTGAAGGAAATAGAAAAGAACAGTAGAAAGTTCATGTGGAACCAAACCCAAGAAGGAAGGAAGATGCACTTAACATCCTGGGAGACCATGAAAAACAGCAAGGAGGAGGGAGGTCTCGGCATTAAAGATCTTCAAAGCCAGAACAAAGCCTTAATAATGAAGCTCTGCTGGGGTTTACTTACCAAGCCAAATGCCTTATGGGTACAATGCCTCAAAGCGAAATACAATTGTGGTGCGGAGACACATCCCATAATACTTCCGAGAAAGGCCGCTTCAGTGGTGTGGAGAAGCATTACTAGTGTTTGGGGGGAATTTGACAGAGGAGTTGGGAAGAGGGTCAACGATGGCAAATCTACGAAAGTGTGGTGGGACCTATGGACTGCTCTGGATACACCGCTCATCAATCTAGTTAGCCAACACTTTCACGCTCTAGACCCCAGTGCGACAGTTGAATCGTTTACACTCAGGAATGGACAGTGGAACCTTGTAAAATGGAGAGAGTTTCTACCGGAATGGGTGGTTCAGATCATTACTCAAACATGCCCACCACGAGGAGGAGAGCGGGATACGTTCAGTTGGAGAACAAGCGCAGATGGCAACTTCTCGGTTAAGTCTGCTTATAAGAAAATCTCCAACAGGATTGGTCACCAAGATACAGGGCGTTGGAGGGAAATCTGGAAACTGCCGGTCCCTGAAAAAATAAAAATGTTCTTTTGGCAAGTAATCTATGAAAGACTGCCTACTAATTCCCTAAGAGCTCAAAGAGGGATTTCAGTGAGTGCGGAGTGTCCCTTTCAATGTCAACGAGAGGAAAATATCATACACATATTGAGAGACTGTGAGGTTGCTCGTAATGTGTGGATTAAATTTGTGCAAGCTAACAAGCTTTTAGAGTTTTTTCAATCCGATTTGCAGGTCTGGCTCGAAAGAAACTTCAGAGTGGAGTGGGGCAAAAAAATGGCTAGAAGATGGCACTGGACCAGATTGTTTTGTTCCTTATGCTGGCTGCTTTGGAAGAATAGATGCAGCGGAGCCCTGAACGGTACCCGAAAACAAGCATCAGAGATAAAACATATGGCTATCCTACAGATGACGGAAGCGGTGGAGCAAGGAAAATACAAACACTTGGTATTCAACTACAATGGAGTAGTGGAAGACTGATGGGAATTACCGGAAGAGGGTACAGTGAGACTAGACACGGATGGCTCGGTCAATAATCAAGGAAGAGCAGTTGGAGGAGGAGTTGTTCGAGACCACCAAGGCTACTGGAAAGTTGGCTTCCAGAGAAAACTTGGATACATGCCGTCTACAGCAGCAGAACTAACATCTTTGCTGATCGGTTTAAGATTGTGCAAGCAATACAAATACCAGAGAGTGGTAGCTTATACGGATTCTACGGAGACTATCCAACTGTTAATGCAGGATGGCGGACCCCAGCACCCTTATTGGGTAGAAATAGAAGAGATTAGGGAGCTGATATATTCAGACTGGGACGTAAAGATAAGACATGCACCCAGGGAAACAATCAGATGTGCCGACTTCTTGGCACGAATGGCCCATAATTTGATGGAGGAATATTGTGTATGGACAAATCCGCCTACTGGTTGTTTGAACCAACTAGGATTAGATTCCGCGCAGCCAAATATGGTTATGGCAGACCGCAGTAGTTAGTAGCTCAAGTTTAACTTGCCTCTGTAATATAAAAAAAAAAAAAAAGAAAGGATATGGATGGAGTGGAATGAAATTATAACCAAAAAATATTTGATAAATATTTGCAAATGAATTGCAATGAGGTAATATTATAAAGACATGAATAAAGCTTAGCATGTACTCCTCCGATCCTTAATATAAGACCCATTTAACTAATTTAATTAGATTAAGGAAGTTAGGTAAGTTAGTTAATTATAAGAAAAGTAACACATTTTTCCTAAAATACTATAATCATCTTTCTTAATACCCCTCTCCCTCTTCTACTTGATTATGGTTGAGGGAGTATCCATAGGGGTAATTTAGAAAAAATTGATAAATATGATAAATAGGTCTTATATTTAGGACCAAAACCAACTCAAAAATTGAGTCCTATATTAAGGACAGGGGGAGTATAAAATTAGAAAGACATGCCAGCATCATCTTAAGATCACGTGACTTCCATATCGTCACCTTGGCCAGGGCCTTATCCATGTAGCTTAAAGATTGTCTTGTCAAAGATCAGTGATTCTTTTTTCAAGGGTTGGGGTGTGACTTTATCTAGGAAAAATTTAAACCCGTGACATTGTTATCCCATATTATTAAAAATACTAATATTAACTGTTAAAATAATAGTATTGACTTTTAGGATGCATTTGGTATGAGAGGAGGGGAGACGAGGAAGGATTTTAATTTTTTCTTTTCTTGTTTAGTAACACATAAATTTTAGGAGGAGATAGCAAATTTTAAAAAAATTTTCACTTCCCCTCAAAAATTAGGAGGATTTGGAGGGAAAAGGGTAATATTTTGTCATGATTATTATGTTCATATTTATTTTTAATATTCATATAATACTCTAAATTCTTTTCTTTTTGTCTCAAACGCTACTCTCTCCTTTGCATGACTAAATATTTCATTTGAAAATAAGATACAGTACAAGTTGTGTTTGAACATTGCCTCAGTCTTCTTTTTAATAATATTACGCTTTAGAGTATATTAGAATTTTGGCATAAGTATTACTCAATATATTAAATGTTATTTACAATTCTATTTTATTAAACATTTTATAAAATTTGAAAAAATAATCTCAAATAAAATAACAGCAAATTGTCCATGTTAAAATATTTTTTCCTCCCCTCCCCTCACAAACCAAACAAGGTAATATTACAACTCTTCTCCGCTCCTCTTTTTTTATAAATCTAAATAACGTAATATTAAAATCCTTCCACTATCCTCCCCTCTTCTTCCTTCCATTAAAATTTCCTCTTCCCCTCATTTAGTTAAACATACCCTTAAACTCAAGGGGGCATATGTCCCCTTTTTCCCATTTAGTGTCTATTTATTTTCACTAGAAAAACACTGCGTTTTACAAAAATAAGCTAATCTAAATACTACATCCGGTCCTTAATATAAGATCCCGTTTGACTTTTTGTTTGGTTCTAATTATAAGACCCCAATCCATTTTTTCTCTCATATTTATGTATTTTTTTCAAGATAATCCTTCTAATAATGATAGTTCTAGCCAATACACTTAATTAGCAAGGATATTTTAGGAATGACAACACTTATTTATTACAAACAACTAACTTAACATACTTTCTTAATCTCCTCAAATAAGTTAACTGGGTCTTATAATTAGGACCGGAGGTAGTAGTTAAGTAATTACACCCGTCGCATTGGACATATTATTGACTTTTTACAGACGCCACTGAAGTGTGTCTCTCAAGGTGTGAGCATGTTTCCTTATCGTTTAATAATGCTTTTCCACATTTTAGTTGTCAGTCATCATCTCCAGTCATTTTTTCTTCTTGATAATGATAGCATACCCACCCACGCTTCAACAACATATATATACATACATATTATGCTCGTTTCTTAATATAAGATCTAATTATGAGTTAGATTTTATCATAAATATAAGACTTTAATATATTTTGTTTCTCATTTTTATCTCAAAATATTCTTATTAGTTGTAAAAGGTTTTTCATATCCTAATAATTTAATTGGCATGATTAAAAATAATAGTTTAAAGAGACCAACAAAAATTTGTAACAAATAATTATTTAAGTAATTTTCTTAATATCCATAAGTTTCGTCTTCTTAATAATGACAGGAAAAATGCCGCTCTGATCATTAAAAAAAAAAAAAAACCTTTGCAACTACTTCCCAAACAAAAGTCACCTTTAATCCTGAAAAATACGAAAGCCGTGAGTTTATGAAATACTACCTCCGATCATAATTATAAGACCTAGTTGACTAATTTGAGGAGATTAAGGAAGTAAGTTAAGTTAGTTATTTGTAATAAATAAGTGTTGTCATTCCTAAAATATCCTTGTTAATTAAGTGTGCTGGCTAGAACTATCATCATTAGAAGGACTATTTTGAAAAAAAATACATAAATATGAGAGACAAAATGAATTGGGATCTTATAATTAAGACCAAACTAAAAGTCAAACGGGGTTTTATATTAAGGACCGGAGGTAGTATTACAAAGAGAAACAGCAAAATCTGATAATATGGTATGGAGTATGCTCTCTCCCACCATCATACAAGACACCGAAAAAAGATTAGTTGTATGGGGAATTCATGACATACAAGAAGAAAATGAGTTTCAAGAAGATGGAGGGAGAGGAGATTTTTTTAGTCCTATTTATAAGGCACTAAGGGAAATTTTTTGTATGAATGTATAATTTTGCCCCCCATTATTATTATATTAACTTTATTTACATCAGGTATAAAATATATATTAAATAGGGATAAAGTTAAAAAGTTATTAAATTTTAAATGAGAATTAATAAAATTTAAGGCTTTTCTTGTTTTGTGTGAAACATACTAAAAATACCTTATAAACAGGACCGAAAGAGTAATAAACATGAAACAACAAAAAAGGGTATAAAGAGATTAAAAGCCTATTTAGAACAGTTTAGAGGAAGCAGTTTTTTAATTGTTAAATACAGAATACGGAATAAGTATAATGAGTTTTATCTGGATTCATGTAAAACGTATTTTCCAATACTAAGCAGATTCAGACAAGTTAAAAATCCTTGATTTTGGACAGTTTCAACGTAAGAGATTCAGGGTCCCTGGGAATGCTTTCATAGATAAGTCTCTCAATCCAACAATAGCCATTTTGGCTAATACAAACGAAGTTATTGAACATATTCATCTTGCGCAGTAAATTATTAAAGTATTGCGCCCTATAAGGGCGGACTAATTATCACACTTGGAGAGTAAAATCTATAAGTTCGTGGGTGTGTTATGGAAAGTTTCTGTCAATCCCTGCAAATCTAAATTATCTTCACAACTTTAATTGAATATCCAAATATGACTTAATAATACCTAGATACCCATTTCTCTGGATCCCTCAGATACAAGCTACTTATTTAATTTGAATAAACTAAGAAAGTCAAATAAATTAACTATTTATAATAAATGAAATATGATCTTCTTAAATTATCTTTATATAATATTAGACCATATGTTTAATTTATAAGTAAAATAAATTAATTTAAAAAATAATAAATATGAAAAATAAAATAATTTTTTTTGTCATATTTATGATTAAATTTAACTAATAATCAGCTCTTAAAAATTAGAGAAGGTATGTCGATATGAAAAGAAAAATGGCAACAATAATTGACAAAAGAGGATTAGGGGACAATAAGTGGGCCTTTGTCTAGCAACTCGGTATTAACATTTTGTGGGCCCATTTCACCTGCTCTCTTCCAATGTTACAGGAGTGAGCCGAAAGGATTCATTCCACGCATTTTTTTCTAACTAGTTCACTCGCCTTTTTTTTAAAAGAATTTTATGAGTTTAAGTATTTTTGTAAATGCTTTTTAGACCTAGAAACATGTTTTGACTCGAGTGAGCCTCAGGATCCAACTCACAGCAATTTTTTTATATAAAAAAAAGAATTCTATGAGCATGGACTAATTTAGATTTATTTTATATATCGATATGAAAAAAAATGCCAACAATAATTGACAAAAGAGGATTAGGGGACGATAAGTGGGCCTTGTCAAGCATCTAGATATTAACATTTTGTGGTCCCATTTCACCTACTCCACTCTTCCAATGTTGCAGGAGTTGGTCAACAAGACCCATTCCACGCATATTTTAACTAGTTCAGTCGCCTGTTTTTTAAGAATTTTATGAGTCCTTGTAAGTATTTTTGTAAATGTATTTTTTGAGTTCAGAGGCATATGCTGGCCTTGTGAGTCTCGGGATTCAACTCACATAAATTATTTTGTATTAAAAAAAAATTCTACAAGCCTGTACTAATTTAGATTTATTTTATATGAGAACCTTCTGGAAAAAACAATGAAATTTGAGTCTAATAAGAATGATTATTTTTTCATAATATGATAAACCAATATTAAAATTCTCATTAAGAGAAATACCCGTATAAAGTGTCCGATTGTATTTTTAAAGGGTACTTGTTATGCCTAACCAAACAAAAAAAAAAAAGAAGAAGAAGAGAGAACATTTTTAGGGGTGACAGCTCTACCACCTATAATGCTACATTTTCAGGTTCAAACAACCTCCCATCTTATTGATCCAAGCGTTCGGTGCTTCCAAGCGTTCCTCTCCCAGCATGTCTCGCCTCTTCTCTTAAAGTTCAAAATATGACAGTCACATGGAAAAATTGGAAATGAAAAACACGTTAATTAAGACTGTAAATATAAAATAGTATACAAGCGATCTTAAATGGCTCAACCACCAACTTATTTTGAATTATAACCATTGTAAATAAATTGATCAAAATGAAAACCCAAAAAAGTCTGATCATGAGTGACATAGCTTCAGACGTCGAGTCTCTGAAATGTTTCCGCGTGGATTTTCGATGCGCGGCTTGACTCAGGATGGGACGGGCCTGTCCTGGTCCCGTCTCGATGAATAATAACGGGACAAGAAATTTGTCCAGTGTCCCGTCTTGTCCCATATTGTCCCAGTCTCGACCAGGATGGGACGGGACCGGGACGTCCCAGTACTTTTTTTTAAAAAAACGCTCTGGGCCTTTAAAAAAAAGCTATGGGCCTTATAAAAAACACTGTGGGCCTTATAAAAATGTTATGGGCCTTTTGGAAATACTATGGGCCTTCTAAATATAATATAAAATATTTTAAAAAAAATATACATATCGGGACGAGACGACCTCATCCCGTGTCCCGCTTTTATTTTTGTGCCGTTTCGGTTTGTCCTATTCCATAAAATTTCAGGACGGGCCCGTCTAATCCCAGTAAGGCCGGGACCAGGACGGGCCGGCTATGAACACTCCTACCTCGACCTAAGTAGGTCAACTCAAATCTAACTTTTAACTAAATATAAAATCCCAATTTATTTTTTCTTTTATATATTTTTTTCTTAAGGTAGTTATTTAATGATAATAGTTCTAACCAATATATTTGATTAGTAATGATATTTTAGGAAAAATAATACCTATTTATTACAAATAATTAACTTAACTTATTTATTTAATTTACTCAAATCAGTCAACTAGTTCTTATATTTAGGATCGGAAGTAGTATAACGCTAAGTAAATTATATGATTTTTTGCTCATATAAGAATTATATATCCTCTAATTCTCCGAAAGAACTATAACTATAATTATGATCATAATAATGTTATAAATAAAAACTAACGGGGTAAAATTTAATCAAATGTCATTAATTTATTTAATTCTTTTGTTAAACTGTATTGTCTAGCGCATAATACCTGTTATGCTATGCCAGCAGGGAATCCAGTCTGATGCGTGGATTATGAAAACTTTTATTTACCAATTAAAAAAAATTAATTACATAGTTTCTATAATTTTAATTTCATAATTTGATTATAACTCAGTATTTAAATTTTAACTCGATATCATGCAATTCAGTTTTTTTTTTGAAGTCTAAGCCATTTCATATATTAATCCATATATTTGAGATATTAGTTTTTTTGAAAGTGCAAAGATCCGTTATTTAAGTGATTGAAACTTGAGAAATTGAAATCAGTGAGGTGGATTGGGAGACAGTGTTATCATGGGGTAAAACTAAGGCGTCCATATTTCCTTATAAAATTATGAATTATAATAAAACATGTTCGAACTAATATTTTCGGCTATACCATGGGCATGTTCCATCAATATAAAAAATTAATCTCTCTAAGCATGGAGAATAATGATAAAAAAATTTTAGCTAGATTTTATTACATATGGACACATGGGTTATATATTTATGCTGTTGAAGGGATTATATTTAGATAATTAAATTAAATTATATTTTTTTCTTGCTAAGCATAGGTGTTCAAATTTTTTTATTTAAAATACTGTCAGATAGTAAATACGAGTTTTTTAAATTAAACCATATTTTTTTCCTGATAAATTAAATTAATTTAGATTATAAGGGAAAAGGGTGCAACTACATTCATAATTAGACCGTTGATCACGCCGACATATCCCAGATCGGAAGCCAGAAAGAGAAAGGCCCAAAAACGCAAAATAGGTTCCGCTCGGCTTAGGCTTAGTTTGGGAAGGTCATTTGGGCTTTTCATTTCACCAGAAACAAAAAACGATCAGCAATTGAGAATTCAGAAGGGAAGAGAAGGGAGAGGGGAGTGAGGAGCGCGAGACAGAGTGTGTGTGGAAGTCCTTGCCCGCCAAACAAACCAAAATCACTCCGACAATAGCCTCTTAGAACGTTTCCTCTTCTCCGAACCCCCAGAATTTCCCACCCAAATTCCAACGAGAGGCTCTACCTTCGAGGCTATCTCACTGATTCCCTCAAACTTCCCCACAATGACTCAGCCATCGGTGCCTCCGCCGCCGTTGGCCCCGCCGTCGTCCCATGTCGGACAAGGTGTCCAAGTGCGCTGTGCTGGTTGCCGTATGATCCTGACGGTGGCGCCGGGGCTGACGGAGTTCGCTTGCCCAACCTGTCGAATGCCGCAGATGCTTCCCCCGGAGCTTATGGGTAGGGCCCACCAGAAACCGTCTCATTACTCACCCTTGCCTCTTCCGTCGTCGCAGCAGTCTCACGTGCCGGCACACGGCATTGATCCCTCTAAGATCCAGCTTCCTTGTGCTAGCTGCAAGGCTATCCTCAATGTCCCTCCTGGCCTCGCAAGGTTCGCTTGCCCGCAATGTGGGGTTGACCTCGCCGTTGATATCTCTAAGGTCAAGCAGTTCTTCCCTTCTGGGCCTCCTCCAGAAGAAGTCAACGAGGTCTGGTTCCATTCTATTACTCTTAATGCTCTAATGTTGCTGGCTTGGCAAAACTACTTTGATCGACTTTCAATTTTATGAATTAGTGAACGAAAATTATGTTGCTATTTAGCCGGGAAAAATTAATTTGGGTAACCGTGGAATCTTGTGCTGAGCAGAGTGGTTAATTCTGGCTTAATTGCGTAGGAGTAGCATTTATTGTTAGTTACAGAAGGTAACTCACAAGGTGTTGACAGCATATGCAATAGCTTGGTAGTTAAAGTGAAGGATGCTACTGAACTAGCTTTACTTGGACGGAGTAGATACAGAATATGGGATATTGACTCATCTTGTCGGGGTGCCAATTTTGTCCTTCGGTTGTTCTTCTAGTTTCACAGATATCTTTGGTCAATCATATGCGTGGAATTTTATCATTTTGGGGGAAAAGTAGGTGTTGTATTGATGCCTAGCCGAGCATTTGAGGAGCAGGTTCCAACAGAATTCATGTTATCAGAGAACCATCCCTTTTAGTCTTTCTCTGCTATCCGAGTATAATCTTCTGTTCTTTGTCATTGCCTTGAGACCAAATGCTGAGATATTCTGGTTTTAGTAGGGAAGGGCCAACATCCCTGAAAAAACTACTGAATTCAAATTGTTAGCTTCCTTTCTCAAAAAAATTGTGGGCATTTTGTACGGAAGAGATGTGGCGTTATTTCTGTTCTATGTAGATGGTTGTGACCCCCTTTTTGTGTTTTCATTTCTCCTTATCTACATATATGGACCCAAGACACTTCTGAATTTTTCAACTTTCAATCTGGAACCCTTCCATTTTCAATACCTATCATATGACTTGGAAGGCCGAAATTCCTTCTAAGGCTGTGATTTTGTTTGGTGAACGATGCTCAGTAGGATTAATACATAGTAGTACTTTCTTGCTGCAAGAGTTTGGAAAGTACTCATCATCTGTTTCTGCCTTGAGAGTTGCTGGGAAATCACCTGTGACTTTTGCAAAGCAGTAAATCATTGACGATTACAAGGAGTATGAAGTCATCAGCAAGATGAAAACTTTTGTTCTTTGTTTATTTGAAGTTTGGAGCATTTCTTCCAGTAAAAAGTTCACTGGGTTTCTTTTTCATTTATTTATTTTTTAATTAATTAATGTTAAGGAGTCAGTCACTGGAGACTCATATGTTGGGTTAGTTTTCTCAATTCTTTTATGTGTTGATTATTTTGAACCTCAAAATATGGCTGTTTTATTTTCCATTTCCCCTTTTCTGGGTATTGCCTTTCATAGTCCAGCAATACACGGGCTTATAGTTTCAACTTATGTTCATTTGAGAACTTTGCTTGAATATTTTACTGTTCTGGTCACATTCATACTTTTGTTTTGCCCATCTAAATATTTTAGTTAGCTGTTGAAGTGGAGCGTGATGAAGATGATGGCGGTGGCCTGGTTGGAGAAACCTTTATGGATTATGTGAGTTCTAAAACTTTTCTGATAGTATATGCTAGAAGTTTTTCCTAGCCAAATTAACTGTGTTTGTTATTTCAAGTTGTGGACATGCGTTTCACTGTATTAGAATTTGTATGATGCAGCGGCCACCAAAAGTATCTATTGGACCTTCACACCCAGACCCTGTTGTGGAAACATCATCTTTGTCTGCAGTGCAGCCTCCTGAGCCTACCTATGATCCAAAGATCAAAGAAGATTTGGAAAGTTCAAAGGCCTTGTCATGCTTACAAATTGAGACATTGGTCTATGCTTGTCAGGTTCCTTTGTTGACATAATTGATAATAACTAATGTTATATTGGATTTCATGTGTATGACTTGTTGTTTTCTATGACAGAGACATCTACAGCACTTACCCAACAGTGCTAGGGCAGGATTCTTATTGGGGATGGAGCTGGTGTTGGTAAGGGGTCGAACAATTGCAGGGCTAATATGGGAGAACTGGAACCATGGAAGGAGAAAAGCACTGTAAGTTTTGGTCACAACCATGACAGTCTCCATATGCGGTTTTTCATGTTTGTTTGATTGTTTTTTGGTGTGTGTGTGTTGTGATAAACAGTAGCTCCTAGGGATGCAGATTCATCTACCCTTCCTCCATAATGCACATTTACTTTTTTTTTTTTTTTTTGAAATTTATTTTGATATGATATTGGGCTATATAGCATGAGTTCGGTAGTTTGATATTTTGCCATGTTTCCAATGATCTTACACAGGTGGATTTCTGTTGGTTCTGACTTGAAGTTTGATGCCAGAAGAGACTTGGATGATGTTGGTGCAACTTGCATTGAAGGTATAGTTGTTAGTGCATGCAGATACTATTGGTAAATTTAAACTTGGGTCATTTTATTTTGGGGAAATTATTGATAGGGACTGAGAATGTAAGTTAGCTATTCCTAGGGACTCGTATTATTGTGAAAGACCCAAGGCCCTGAAGTATGACTTGTTTTGAACATTATGGTAAACTTAATTTATGATAGTTTTAAAAAAGGTATGGATAACTTTCTGCATGTAAAATTAGTACTTACGTTGAAAATTATAATTTTGATAACATCTCATAGTAGCTATTAAAGGAAAAAGTCACGAGCTTTCTGTAGCAGAGTTGAAATTATTAAAACTAAGTTGTAACCTAATTTCTAAGTAAAAAATGCCTTTAATGATGCTTTAGGAATTAGGAGAGAAGGAGAGGTGAGATGAACTGAGAATTCTGTTTTGAATTTTTTTTAAGACATAAAGAGGAATATATATGGATTAGGCCACAAAACGGAAAAAATCTGTTAAGGCTTAGTCAGTATGAGGATCACGTCATTAAGCTGTGATTAGATGACAGCCATGTCATTAAGTTGTGATTGAATCTAATCACGTTATTAGTGACATGATCATGACCCAAGTCACAATGCAAGGAGGGCTGTC